TTTTTTTTTTTTGGCAATTAACATAAAACGTTAAAACAGTTTTAGAATGATCAGGTGGTATTAAGAACATTGCTCTGTAGTATAGTCCACCTGAAGCACGGTGAATAAAAGTTCTATTAATTAATCTTCACTAGAACCACACTTGGGGAATGGGGGACGGGTGTTTATAATGGGCTTCACAAAGAGTCTTTAGCTTGGAAAGAGGCCCAGATCAAATGGAGTTAGGCCTGGGGATCAGCACGAACAAAAAATGGGCCCGTGATGGCGTCACGCTTTGGCCCAACGTATTGTAGTGGGCTGCATTTAATTGAACTACAAGTGTCCGTATAGACTGGCCCGTATCAGTACAACATGCTTGTTACCATGGCTCGAAAAAACCAAAACATTTAGGTGTTGTTTGTTTTTTTATCTATAGCTTATAACTTATAAGCTACTAGCTATAAGCTTGAGAATATAGCTTATAGTAACCGCCACCTTTTAGGCTATTTTCTACTAGATTATCTTATAAGACCATAACTACCCATAAAAACAAACACCATTTATGGTTTTCTAATAGCTTATAAGCTATCAAAAGCACTATAGCTGAAAAAACAAACATCACCTTAATCTGTTGTTATTTTTTTAGGTGGGTTTTATGGGATCAATAAAAAATTACCATGTGTTGTTTAAATTATTAAAAAAAATTGTTCAAATTCCACTAGGGTTAGCAGTACCAAGTGTGGAGGTTTATTATTTGCTCCACAAATCCCACACTGATAATTCACAACAGACTAAATTCTTCACAGAAAAACAAAACAAAAAACAGACGTTTTTAATCAAAATAGCACTTAAAAGTCCATAGATTTTTCCCAATATTAGTACTTTGATTTTTTATTTTTATGGAATTGAAATAAGAATGCGTTGTTACCAATTACCAAGTCAGCTTCCATTTTGCAAAGTTAGGCAGATTTATTCTTCATTAAACAACTTAAAGTTGCAAGTCATTATTCGATATCGAAATTTGGTTGGATGTTGATTTCGAGTACTAGGTTTCTTGTTTTTACCAAGACATCCAATCTTTAGTTTGTACGAGAATATCTCTTTGGTGAGGTGCCACACCCCATACAAATGTTTTTTTTTTGGGTACACAAATTTTATGCTCATTAAAGATAGTATAAATTTGAAAGGACTATCATGAGTTCATGACTACTCCACTGCAAGAATTTTAGCTACAACCATGCATCATTCATATCTGTTCTCCCAGCTTGGAAGGGAAAATTTCCCAAACTATATATCAAGGGAGATATTTTTTGATTTACATATGAGCCAATATGAATGTGAATACATGTGCACATCCAAACAGAGTATTGATCATTAATTATTGTAGTAGGCCATGAAATGTTATTGAATGGACAAATGGTCCATGTTTAATTGCTCATGGTTCTAGAGTACTTTTGTTGCTCAATTATTGAAACCTGTCACTTGTGTTATTCTGGTGTTAAAAGAACTTTGTTTCTGAGCAAAATTTACCATAGCTAATTATTTCACTAACAAATGAATAACATAAAATGAACATTAATTCCAACAAGTGATTAATTAAGAATAAAAGAGAAATATAACAAGATAACAAAATTAAAATGATAGTTAGTTTGTTTTATTGCTTTGAAACATATTTGATGACAGATTGTTGTGCAATAATTAAATCCATAACCTAGTTTATGACGATTGTTGTGCACCATTTTTTCCTACTAGATGATGCAGATAGTTAACTGATCAACCATGAAGGGGTGTGTTATTCATGTGATTGTGAGCTCATTGTCACGTAGAAGAGCACAAATTGCTGTGATCATTGTATTCTTTCACCTAATGCAAATCATTTAGCTGACATTTCAATTCAGGACTAATTAAGAACTTATATTAGTAAGAGTGAACTCATGATTCTAGCTAGTACAAACCCAACAAATATCTTGTAACATAATGTAAGCATTACACAACATCAAAATAAAGAGTGAAAATGATGCATGATTTGAACTATAAACACTTGGATATGACTATGGAAGTCCCAATATATATATTTAGAAATCCTCCAAAGCTATTAGAAGACAAGTTAATAATCAGATGTTTATTTCCATGCGCAGGACTTAGTCACATGAATGCAACAGAGACTTCTAAAAACATCAAAGGTACAAAATGGCTGCCCATTGGTAAGAGAACCAAGACTGATGGATTTGCAGAGATTCACCCCTAAAACCTCTTCATCTCTCTCTTCAAACCAAAGTGTCCAAGACTTAAAAAAGTTCTTCATGATTTATTGTTGAACAGATTCACCTAAGTACAGACAACAAAGAGATCACAGACTGACTGGATACAGTTAAATTCAGAATACAGTCAGAAACAAATCTCTTTTACAGCAGACATCTCAAGATCCAAAACTCAACAACAGATAGATCATCAGTTCCTTACAATGACATTTGCCAACATGGTAATAATAGTGATTTTTCTTAACCTACATACACCACAGTAGCATTGTAGTAACTCAAACGAACATAAACCCTAAAGATCATTAGGATGCAAGACTTATGTTATAGATCCAATCCTTGAAAATAAAAGCATAAAAACTTGGAAAAATCTAACAAGACTGTACAAAATTAATCTATGAAAATACTCATAACCAAATAAAATTTGGGGAGATCTTACCTTGTTGTGCATAGTCATCTCATGGATCAAAAGGAAGAATAGCCATTTATTGCCGATGCAGCATCATCAAGATTCCCATTTCAATAAAGTCCTTTAAGAGTGATCAAGATTAAATCCACTTCATAAGGCTCTTAGGGTTTGTGAATCTAAATGATGCTGCACCAGCAAACAATGACTGGTTTGATATATCTTTAGATCGTCTTCCCTCATGCAAAAGTATAAAGGAATTGAAAAGTTATGAAAAACCTAAACCCTAACCCTAAATCAACTTCATGGAGGTGTGACTCAGAAAGTAAAGAAAAGCAAGAAGAATCTCAAAAGCAACAAACCCATATCAAGAAATTAAAAAATTAAGAAGACCCCACTTGAACAAAAAGCCAAAACAAAAATTAAAAGAAAAAAGATCTACAATATGAATAAAAGAAAGAAGAGAAGAGGATATAGCAGTAAAGGAGAAATGATTTTTCCTATAACTGTAGAACAAATAGCTGATAGAGGCTGGTAGACAAGTTGAAGAAAGAGAGAACAGGAGAGGAACAGGAGAAAAGGTGTGATGAAGATTGAAGGGGAAGTAGGGTATAAATATAGAAATTTTGAGAGAGGGGGTATGGAAGTCTTGGACTCTTTTGAGAGAGAGAGAGAGAGTAATGAATATGAGATATCATAAGAGAATTGGTTGGTGATGAGATAATGTGACAAGAGGAGCTGTGTTGTACCCACAAGGCCACAACAGTTATACATCACAATCCTTTTAGTTCTTAAATTACCAAAAACCTTTAATCCATTCTGCACTAACCATTTACCACTGATGTTCAAGTAAATATTACCCACTTCCATAGCAGAAATTTGGTGCTATTTTTTGTTTTTAATAGCTAGCATTTATGTTTTTAAGGATTTCTTACTTGCTCTATCAGTTTGACAGAGATGCTTGACCAAACTACACTATCATGAGGTGCACTCTTTAAACAGTATGTTGATTATTTATAAATCCTCCATCCAGTTTTTGCTAATTTTACATGTTCTTGAGAAAAAAAAACATCAAAATAATTATGTCCATTCTTGGTTTTTTTTTTGAGATAACCTATTGGTCAGTTGGATGGCTTTATCTTCTCCCACTTATATCATATCAAAGTAGCTTTCATTCTTAGCTAGCTCTGTGATATAATTCCTAAGTCCACTAGTTGTTTGTTTTAGTTTACCATTAGCTTTGCTAATTGACCAATGTAATGTGGTTTATTGAGTACACTTGTTGCTTTTTAGGTTTCAAAATTCAAACTATTTATAAAAGCAATAAAGATTGTGAAATTCTAAACGTACAAGTAGCTTTTCCAGTGCAGCTCATGAAAAAAAAAAAATTAGGTCCCACGAGCACGAGGCATATACATTCCAAAGGAAACTAAATGATTCAAAGTGATCTGATCTCGCATTACCATCTGAACTTGCAATTTTGTTAATAGTGTAAGATATACATACAGGATTAAAACAATCTACACCCTTGACCCTTGTTCAATGTGTTCAACAGTGACCAAATTTACTTCAAAGTCTAATATTATTGGTGAATTGATCAAAGTCCTTTCATTGTAAAGTCTTGAAGTAACCTCTCAATGTTACATGGTACAATAGTGCTACTTTTTCAGCATGCATACTAGGATTCCAGGTCTCAATTTACCCTTTCTACAAGCTAACACAGTCTTATATTAGTGCAACTTTTGTGCTTTCAAAGTTATATTAGACAATATGAACCTATGTTTAGGACTATTTATAGTATCTTCTCAAAGTCCTTAGCCAGCTGCAACTCCATCCCATCCCATCCCATCCTTCTTGGCTACTACACCCTCCCCATTGACCTAGCTACTATATATATATATGAGAAGTATATATATATGGTGGTAACTTGAACAAGTATATAATATATATACCATATATGGTTGTTTTGAATAAATCAAATAACTCATCTATGGAAATGGACAGATTTAGTTACTTTATAAGCTAGTTCTGAGTAATTATAAATGGCTGTTATTTTCACCAAACTCATATGTATCAATGTCCAGCCAGCCTCTCGTCTGATCAGTTCCTCCTCTACAAGTTACACTGATGATGAAGTGCTTCATTCTTTATTGGATTTAATTCTAGCTACTGCTACCATACGACAACTATATATGTTTAGAGCCAAATTCGGTATTATTTGCTTCTACCAATTCAACTACCAAATTCGCATTAATTAGAAAGCAATCCCTCTAATCCATATCAAATTACATGAATCACTCTGATTAAGATGTGGTTTAGCTGTAAAGTGAAACGCCTAGTACTGCCAAGTGACATTTTGTACTAATATAAAACTCTGTAATTAGAAGAACCTATGTAGTCTTCAAATAAAGTTCAGGTGAAAGATAACACCAGTTCAACAATATAATATGTTGGGACTGGAGCATACATATGCTAATTAATTCTCTTGGATCCAAATAAACTAATGTTTTTGTTAGTGAAAACAACAAGTGTGTTCTGAAATGTTGATTAAAATTATTAGATTATAGTACAAGAATTCTGAAATGTTTTTGGCTAGCTATATCCTATATTTATAACAGTCATACAAAACCACACAGCACTGTTATTCATTGGCCGGGTGCTCCCTGCACTGGTAATTATCTTACCTTAAACAACATCACTGTGATATACATATATGGGTACTCGGAGATCGATGACAATGTTGCTGGCCACGCACGAAGAAAACACGTTGACCCCACTAAATATTAAAGTAAGATCGATTATCACTATTCACTACTTCTAGCTATCAAATTAAAGTGCTTTTTATCAATTCAATCCGATCATCTCGATAACTTAGAACATTAGTCATTATAATATGATAGATGAAACTAAAAGACACCTATATATGAATTGAACAACCTGTTCATCTTTGTGTTTTGATGATTAGTAAGTAGACAATCTTCTTAACTTCTTTCTCCAATTTGTAAAAATACGGTGTATGATTTGACAATGGGCCGGTCTTTTGTGAGTGTGGGCCACTAATAAAACAAAACTATTTGTATATACGAATATGTTATCATCATGATTTATTATTCGTCGACTTATTGGTGATGGCCGGATTTTCTTAAGAGTACGTTTCAGACCCTTTTATTATTATTATGCTTTTCAACTCAGTAATCATACTTTTATTATTCCTAGTTTCATTGTCTTTTCATAGCCTAATAGCGGAAACTATAATACATGCTTTAATTTCATAGCCTAATTGCAGGTTTGAGAATTAGTCTGTTTCACGTTATCTTAAAAGCTGAATTCTGTGTTGGATTGGATTGCGGGTCAAGACCCACCTGCAGGTAGAACTTTGTACCCAGTTCACAGTCATTCTACTCACTAATAATCTTCATACCCGGCCTACCAGCTGAGAGTCCTGGCCATGAGTGATTTGCAGTATACCATATCTACCAAATATGAGCAATGGAAGTATGGAAGTATGGAAGATGAGATGAGAACTGAGATGTCAGATGTGCATTATATTATATAAACCTTACTTACTTATATATTTCCTGAAGATCGAGCAACGAGCAACAGCAAGAGAGAATCTAAGTGATGCCGACAACTATATAATGTAGGGCTGTTGGAACGAAGGTCATTGTTAGAAAATGACGATGTATGCATGCAGTTGCTAAATGTTAATTAGTTTTTATGCTGTATGAGTTGGTTGTTGAGGAGGTACATCGTACATAACAGAGATCTCTGACGCTCATACTCTGTATTCTTGAATTATTAATCTTCTTTATTATACTCAAATCAGATCAGGATCAGATGGATGCATGATTGATCATGACTGCCGTCTACGTCTTAATTATAACCTGGTCCACCTCCCTCATGCATTCATTGCTACTCTGCTTGCACTGCACTACACTACACTACGTAGATCATTTCCTCACACATATAATTCAAGGACATTTTATTATATACAGTATATGAAATGCATGTCTAGATCCTAGTTAGCAATTCCGCATACATGGAAATAATTCGAACAGAGTATAATTC